TATATATATATATATATATATATATATATCCCCGTCGGGGAGAAAAACCACAAATCGTTGGGCAGAAAAAACATTTTTAAAAATCATATGTATTTTGTACATATTAATAGACTCTAAAATGCTCATAATAAGAAAATAATAATTTAAAAAAACATGGAAAAATAGATTTTGAATAAAAGTTGGCTAGACTACCCACGCAAGGAAACTCTCTGATCATTCTTTGTACAAGCAAACTGTAGACCTATTTATAAGCTTTTTTGAAAAATTTGAGTGTTTTTCCCCGCCGCTTGCTTGTCAATGACTCACCAAACTCATCTTCATTCTGGTTTTACTAAAATTATATATATACATGTTTAAGTTTGAAGAGTGCCATTACCGGTCATCTAAAGGTGCCATAATAATAGATTTCCTTAAAGGCGTTATAGACCCCATCTGTGGAAGTTCTCTCCTGGCCGCCCTCTATTATGAATTCCTGGATACGCCACTGATTACAAGTTGCGAATTACGGTATGTGTTTCACACCTACGTACGAGCAAGTACGAAGCAAGAACGCCTTGGCAGCGCTTGCGTTAATATGCAAATTCATTATGACACTGAAAACGAAATCGGTAGAGTGGTGGGCGTATTCGCCTCAAAACAACAACATATGGATTTATTGTTCCCCTTGCCCTGTTCCCAATAATATCAGTATAGGCTTATTTTATGCATTCTCGATTTTATATATTTTGACGTCTACTAATAATAATAATGATGATAATAATAATAATAATAATAATAATAATAATAATAATAATAATAATAATAATGGCTGTGATAGTAATAACAACAATATAATATAATTTCAAAGCAATATTTTGGTCTACTGTGAATGCATTCCTTTTTAAATGTCTTTTTACCTTATCATGAATTGTATATTTTTATATTTCTCGATTGTTTTGATTGTATTTTTACCTTGCTGTTGTGTTTGAAATAAAAATAATGAATGAAATGAAAAAAGTGAATACCCATCTCACCCACGACGTAAAGCGATTGTAGTTATTCGTTCATATTCGCAATTTCTATTAATTCCATTTATTTATCAAATATATTACCTTTATGGTAAATTTAGTATTTCCAATGCACAGTAATATTATGGACTTGTTTTCATTGTGTGCTATAGGCCTACATGTGAAAAATCAGAAACACCACGTGGCTGAAAGTCACACGTTACACATCTAAGCTATTATGTTGTCCAACATGTAGGGATTCATTTTACTCGACCTCGATTTATTTACGAATCTTTAAATTTAATCATATTAATTATAGTAGTTTGCAGTTTAAAGGCCAACTCAGACAGCGTCGGCCGACGCAGCCCGACCCGATTTATCGTCGGGGACAGTCTTAAGCCGTCGTGAGAAATATTAAACACGTTTAATATTCTACTACGCGACTGCCCCCGACGCACACCATCGCGTCTGCGTTCAACTCACACAGACCCGACGCGACAACAAATCGTGTCAGGCTGCGTCGGCCGACGCTGTCTGAGTTGGCCATAATTAATGACATTTCCACAGTTTTAATTAGATTTATTCAATTTTCGTAGTTCAATTTTATTGCATCACTTTGTTAAAGTTGGCTATATTCATTTTTAGACCTATCAAAATTTTGACAGACTAAAGAACATAGGAAAAAAACACTGGCAAATGTTTGCTCTTAAAACCAGTGACGGATTCAAGGGGTGGGGGCAGCCCGCCCAGACCCTCCCCATCAATAGAAAAAAAAAGAAAATTATAGTCAAATTTTAAATCTTAGAGTGCCATTTCCGGAACCGGAACTGCAACTGGACAAATGGATTCTTAGCTTTAAGCCTGATCGGCCAATTTTATGCGTCAAGGGCCACGACTGTACTCTCGGAACCTAGTTACGCCACTGGTTACATTAATATTTGTAAGACACTCACCATGGTAGGTTCTCGAAGTTACCATAGTAACGGAGAGAGCGATGACAATAATAACTGCTAATTTATTCATCTTTGACTAAAAGAGAATGAAATAATTAACAGACGTAAATGATTATAATATTATCGAGTCTTTATTGCAAGTTAAAATTATTCACCTCTATACTGACACCCCTATACAAAATAACCTCCAGGCTCTAGTAATAAACACGGAAAATGTTTAAATTGTTACAAACAAATTAATGCTTCTTTGGCGTCTTCCCTGTCATTAAATCTAACTACGTAAACTAAAGACAAAGGACTGACATGATTCTTGTTTTTACGTTATAAAATTGTATTGGCCAATAGGCAAGTTGATAAATTTATTTGTGTACGTTTTGTCTTGGAGGTCACTCAAGTTCAATACAACTTATCACATGCAATAATTACATATTAGTGTACAAAGTTAAGTAAATCAATTTATTAAATGGTTTTTTAGCTCAACACAGCCAATGTGTTAACAATATTCTTTTAACTTTATTTTCACACACAGTATTCTTTTACATGCTGTACTCTCTCACAAGCAATACTCTTTCACACGTATTACGTTTTCACATAGTACTCTTTCATACACAGCACTCTTTTACAAGCAGTACACTTTCACACACAGTACTTATTCACACGCAGTACTTTTCAACAGGTCGTTCACTTTCACATGCAGTACTCTTTTACAAGCAGTACTTTTTTGCGCTCAGTACCTCTCACACACAGTACACTTTCACACGCAGTATTTTTTTCACGCGCAGTACTTTTCACACCCAGTACTTTTTCACACGCAGACTTACCGTACACTTTCACACACAGTACTCATCCACACGCAGTACTCTTTCACACGCAGTGTCTCTTAAACGCAGTACTCTTTTCCCACGAGGTACTATGGAGAATTCTGCACACACAGTCACTCTTTCACCTTTCACAAGCAGTACTGTATTCTTCCACACACAGTACTCCTCCACATGCTGTACTCTTTTACACGCAGTACTTTTTCACAAGCAGTTACACTTTTACACGCATTACTCTTTCACACGCACGACATTTAATCATCAATTCCCCTAGAAGCCTACCTTGATGGTGAAACTGTGATGTAAAGCTGCTCTCAGATTGAGTTCTCAGAAGACGTCGATTAAATGCCACCGTCAAATGACGCCATTCCTTTTATAACTGGTTCAAAAAAATTATATCGACAAAACCAACAGCTGACATAAACACATCAATATTTCTTTTACGTTGCTATATTTGTATATCACTGGGTATTAATATTAGGCTTTATTGTGTATGTTTGCTGTGATGTGTGCAAGTAAAATACAAGGGTGTATGTTTACGTCATCATTAATAAAGTGGACCCATATCACTAATACTACTACAGATGTTTCATAAATCACATATTCTTGTTAACTTCAGTTATTTACCAAAGACGATTTTTAACAGGAATATAAACAACTGACTGAGAGGGAGGCGTCAATATTAGTTGTTGAATGAAAATTAATCGATTCGTTCGACTTTCAAGTAGGTCTAATACACAATTATGCGTAGGCGCCATATGGTACCCAAAACAACTAGGCCCTAATTGGAATTGACATTGGTTCGGACCCAATACAAATAATTGGTTCCTAATCATCACGCTCCACGATCACGTCCATGTGATACTCTTGTTTGTTTTTTTGTTTTTTTTTGTTTTTTTTTGTTTTTTTATCTCTTTAACACGCAATAAATGATATATTTGTATGTATGACGACGATATCTGATAGGCATAGTTATTTATGTCTACAGTTGAATGTGCAGACATACAATGAGAAGTTCAAGTCTGTGTTACCTTTTAATATTCTAAAGCACCATCAAGTGGTCGTAAAATGTACGTACAGTGCATGAGAATCTCATAATACGTTACATTATCAGGCCGATATAATTCTGAAATAAATACTTGGAAATTTTGAAGCTTATGCATATACATGCCAATAAGAATGTTGATTTTAAAAAAATTGCAAAAGCGACTTTTAAAGAGATGTGCAAGTGCATCTCAGAAATGTGAGTCTATTTACCTCTAAAATGTTGTATTCATGTACGATTTTGATGATTATAATAATAGTACAGTAATATTCGTCCATTGGTATGTATTTTTGAAGTTTAAACAAAATTGTCGTTGGATTTTGTTGTATATCTTTATGTTTTCATCATCGCTAAGTCACTTTTATAGCATGAAATCTGTATTTATAGTTTAATTTGTTATTAGTTATTGAAGATAGGTTGCATTATCTGACACATAGGCCTATACTGAAAAGATAAACAAAATGCTAAGTAATACAAGTTTCTAGAAATGCAGGCAATAATGGTGTAGAACTGAGCTTTATTTAAACGTTTGTTCATCATCATTATTATGACTTACTGATATGTACCTGATGACTTAAATGGAGAATTACTGAAGAATATATAATTTTGCGACATATCAGTCGAGTAGCGTGACGCCTCTGGGTCACGTCCTAAGGTTTCAGCGAGGCTACGGGTGAATTTGGATTCGTTGTCGCAGCAGATTCCGACGTACTGGATACCGTACCAATCTCTTTACACTTCTCACCAAAGTTAACGAAATCTTTACAGCAACTCATTTTACATTTGAGATCTTCAGGATAAAGCTTTGAGCCTGTAAATTAAATGATTTCCCCCCCCCCCCCGATTATTGGAATTAACTCTCTAGTGTTAATTGGCGGGGGGGGGGGGGGAGGGGGATTTTTTTCTCTCTCATTCAATTAAATGTTAAACCGAGCACTTACTCCGTCGTGTGACAGTCGTACGACGAATTCAACTCCGCTCTCTGTGAACGCTAGACGACGCGACGCCGTCTGCTGTTTGTCGGTGACCAGTCTGAACGGATCGTCATTAAAAACGATCCCTTGCGCGCTTCATGGCGTTGCGTCTTCCACAAAATCGCGTCGGCCGACGTCCGTCGGGCGCAGTGAATGCCCGTCTTAATTGTATGTTAATCTTTATCTTTGAGATTAGGATTGAATCTAAATGCATCAACCCAAATTGTGAGGTCTTACTAAGTACAATCATCATGAAAGTACCGTCTGAGGGATCAGTCAGGCTCTGGAAGGTTGGCTCCTCATCGGTTGTTAATCGGACCCTGGAACAACACTGAAGTGTAACGTTAGAAATAATAACTGATATAGGCCTAGGCCTACTAACTTTATATAATTGGAAGGTACTCAATGAGTACGTGTTTCAGACAAAAACACTCCCTGCGTCGTACGACGATCTGACGACCGTCGACCAACGAATCAAACACCGCTCCCTGTGAACGTAAAGCCTGTTTTAGTATTCGGTCCATGTGCATTCACTGTACTTTTAAAATCAATCAAGAGGTTTTTTTCAACTCTTTTTGTATTGCACCTTGCAAATAATATAGGGATTAGACTATTGTGGGTTGAAATACATCTAGGCCTCGTCTAATTTACGATCGAAATGACTAGGGAGATTGGAAGCACACATAAAACACTGGTTAGCATTTTTATTTTACGAACATAAAGGTTATTTACTGAATTTGTCATTACCATGTCGTCAAAGGCGAGATTGAGGGAATTTGACATCGGGGTTGGTAAAATCGCGGTACCACTACTTAAATAAGTTGAAATAGATAGCTAACAAATGTATCCGTGTCGTTGGTTGTATGCCCATTCTGTTCAATAACAGCTATATAAAATTCAATTGACTAATCAGAATTTAAATAGGGGCCTACATGTTTGGCTAATGATTGAAATTAGAAAATACAGGAATCTGTATGAAGATAATAATTAACACTATAAACACTAGTTTTAATAATATACATCAAAAGGAATAAATCGTTTATAGTATAATCGTGCACGTTTGAGCTTGTAAAAATGTTGGCCTAATAGGTTTATACCGTTCACACAGCACAGGGAACAGATTACAAGTGAATAGAGAAATTCATGACAGTCATTTGTAATTGTTGTTCTTTCCACTCGCTTTTAGCGGGGTTTTTAACTATAAGATTGGTGAAAAAATGAGGGGGACAATTGACAATTGATGATAGCCCCCAAACCTTGAAATGTGGGGGTGTCCCCTGACCCTTACCGATTTTTATCAAGGTCATGAGAGTTATAGTGACCAATAGTGACGTTCTTTCAGTCGTAAAGTAGGTAGTTCCTAGGGGATACATCCAATCATAGATAGGCATAAGCCGTCATAGGTCTATAGATGGTGCCTACTTTTGGGCTGAGCCTTATAGTTATTGGTGCTAGCAATAATATTATGATTTTTCTTGATTTTTTTGATTTTTGTCGTCGTAATTTGTAGTTTACAATTTAAATACTGTAATCATCATACATAATATGAATGATTTTTTTTAAATTTTTGCATAGTTTCCAGGGGGCTTCGCCCGTATCACTTCCGTGAGATTTTGAGCGACGCCCAATTACACCAACCTACGCCTACGCCCCCCCCCCCTGCTCTGGGACAGTGGACTCAAATCATGGTGCCACCCCTGTGTGGCGCAGCTTTTGAGCTTAAAATAAATGACAAAATTGATTTATTAGCTTTATATTTTGGATTAATACCCCAGTCAAAGCACGATGACGGTATTTGTGGTTTTGCACAAATTTCCAAATGCAAAGCCTGTTACATCTGCTGTGGCACAAAGGTCAATTGTAAAAATGTAAAACAACCGTGTGTCCTTAACGCAAAATGATTGTCAAGATGGATTTCATGCAGCATATGCTTGCAGGCACATGGAAATACTTTCAACACCACAATGCCGAGCCAACAACTGTCTGCAAAGATATCCCATTATCCTTGATCTACAAATGACAATCTTGTGGACAAAAACCATTGCATGATTACAAACAGAATGGTTTAGTTGTTCTTATTATCCTCTACGTTTATTAATATCCAGCACTGGACTAATTTAACATAGCAAGATAAAGTCACTATAACACAACGAATTTTCATTTGTTTAATGATTTTTGTTGAGTTACTATTGTAAAAATTACACTTTTGCAAAGGGTATGTCTTTGTGTGAATATAAATATACACATTTTGCTTAAATTCAAAATAAATATTCTTGTTTATTGTAAAATTCCTCTATTTTTTAACATTCTCTAAAAATTGATCAGAATATTTCATATCATATATCATCCCCAAATCATGCACTTTTGCCAACTTTCATCGCAGAAAGATGATGAAATTGCAACACAATCAAATGATTTTCAAAATTCAAGATTCAAGATTCTCTATTTGTGTCCTCTCGGAAAATCAGTTGGTGCATCACATCGCAAAACAAAGTGCAGGATTAATAAAAAGAAAAAAAAAACAGCAACAAAAATATATTTATAATTAGGCCCTGAAACTTATTTGATATTGTGATTAAGAATTCTAATGGATAGTGGTCGAATGAATTGATATATCTATTTGTTCTACAGCTTTGTGATTTTAAACTTTTACCCGAGGGTAGCCAAGTAAAAGATGCGTTTAGTGGGTGGGAAATATTTCAGTGATTAGTTTTCAGTGAAAAATGATTTCAATGATATCACTACATTTACAGAACCTCGCAGCATTCTACTTTCTATTAGAAAGAACTAGTTAATGTAAACTGTAGACATTAATGACAGTAGGCTAATTTTAATATTCTTGTGTTTCTTTATTGGTATAATATCATCATCTGACTATCAGGCTCAGTGAACTTACAGTGGCGTAGATAGGGGTGGGGACAAGGTTGGGCACGTGCTCCGGGCGCCGGGTTTGGGGCGCTGAAATAGGAGAGTGAGTAAAAAAAATATGCACTTTTTAGAAAAATATTACGAAATTGATGTATGTCGTCAGACATGAATATTTTCCAGTTAAAGAATCTGAATGTAGTTAATTTTATTGGCAAATTTATAGATTGTGATTTATTTTAAGGCCATTTCGACCGTTTTCTCTCTTTTTTTAAATTTTGTTCTGTAATGACTACACATGTCACGGAAATTTTGGGTATTTCAGTATACACTTCCAAGCCAGTAGGTTTCGAAAGGTGGAAAATACCAGCTTAGTTGGCAAGGAGCTGTAGACCTACAATGATGTAATAAATTGCAGGATGCTGTTGAAAAGTAGAACAAACACCAAACGCAGTTTATCGTACAGTACGGTGATGAGAACGTTTTTCCGAACTTGCGAGTAGCAATTCAAATCATGTTGACAGCAGCTACAGTATTTCAATCGCTAGTTGTGAGCGCTCACTCAGCAAGCTAAAGCTTATCCTGCCATATCTCAGAGACACTATGGGACAAGAGATACTATCTGCTTTGACACTCTTAGTATTGAAGCATTAACTTTGATCATGTTATTAACGTATTTGCTGATGCAAAACACACAAAATGCAGTTGCGATTTTAAACAATGTTACAAATTTAGCAACTTACAAGATTCTATAGATAAGATAAATTTTGAGAATAAGAATAAGAATACTAAGCTGTATGATATAAATACAACAACCTTACAACTTAGGATTATGATAAAGTTGTATACAAAGTTGCGAACATCGTAATGCAGTTTCAATAGTAAGAAAGAACCTACTATGAGAGAATAATAATAGTTAATAATAGTTTAAATAATGTTATTTAGACAGTTTGCTTATTTTTACAGTGCATGGTAGGTACATACGATACAGATTATGCTTAAAGCCTATACTGTACAACCAATATCAATTTATTTCACAATATTATACCGTAATAATAATTGGAGGTGGGGGGAATTTTCTACTCTTTGAATTCGTTCCAGAGGTTATTTGTCCTATTTTTGTTTTCATTTTAAGTTCTATTTTCGAAAACAATCACTACTTATCCCATTTGCATCCTTTCTCAAATCGCCTATATGATAGCTTTTTCAAATAAAAGAATTTTCCTAGCAACTATAATCTCAACAATTACCATCGTGGTCCCTTATTTATTTGGTTTATTAGTAAAGAACAGATCCAGTGTCCTGTTGATCCTAGTGGGATTTGTGACCATCTGTTCCAGTCCAAACTTTCTTTACATATAGTCGGGTACGAACATGGTACACCAGAATCCAAATCTTGATTAGGCCAATCAGTTGCATCCATGTTAAAGTCCCCAGCAATCCAAACATGACTATACTCACGCATTTTGAATCTCGAAGCCTAATTAGCTATGCACTAGGCGGTTTGGCTCGGAAAACATCAATCTGTTGCCATATGATACAATTTCCACGTCAGTATCTAAACCTAATTTATGGATGACAGGAATACCCTTTCTAGTACATATAAGGACACCTCCGTAACTACTACCTTTGGAGTTTGGCGGTCTGTCTTTTCTAATAACAGAATAATTTGCTGGGAACATTTCTGAGCTAAAGATGGATTCATCGAGCCATTCGTTACCTATAATCAGGTCAGGATTGTGTGTTTCTGAGTACACTGCAATTTCAGTAATTTTGTTTTTCACACTTCGAAAATGTATAAAGTGATTTATGTACTGACATATTCTTAGTCCCCCTAGACCCTGGTCCCGGGTTTGTTTCACAGTCATTGGACTTAATAAAGTAATTGAACAAAAATTAAGAACTTTTATGGCTATATAAATCAACTGCCTTAGCGGATATTCATTACTGGGACAATATCTAGTAGGCTTAATATGAACCTCAAATTAAATCGCTGCTTTGAGTTCAACTGTGTAGCACTTCTTAAACGAAGGATCATTGCCTAACGTGTAGTGCTGAGACATATCAGTCGAGTAGCGTGACGCCTCTGGTTTACGTCCTAAGGATTCAGCGAGGCTACGGGTGAATTTGGATTCGTTGCCACAACATATTCCAACGTACTGGATGCCAATCTCTTTACACTTCTCACCAAAGTCAACAAAATCTTTGCAACAACTCATTTTACATTCGAGGTCGTCAGGAAAAATCCTTGAGCCTGTAAATGGAATTACGAATTCCTGATTGTTTTGGAAACGATGTATTTTACAATACGCTTAAATAATGTATAAAAACATTCAATATGTAAGAATGAGGTTTTTTCCAACCTGACGTTTTTTGTAGTATTATACTTAATATCTGAAATACTGGCGAACAAATACTGAAAGTGATTCTGACAGGAAACGAACGCCCATCCAACGCCCGACCACTAGGTAACCTTTCTGGTACAGTATCTTAGCCACATGCACTTAGTAGCTATGATACTGTACTCCTCATCTACATAGGCCTATAAATTGTTAATCACCTAGGACCCTCAATGTTCTCTACTAAATTCAAGTATTATCATGTCCACTGTGTATCTTTACTAAAACATTGTATATGGTATAAGCGCAATAATATACATGTTTATACCGTCTGAGGGATCAGTCAGTGATTGGAAAGTTGGCTCCTCTGTAGTCGTCCTATAAGCCACGGGCAGGGCTGCTATCGGACCCTGAAACAATACGGATGCATTTACTATTGTTAGAGAAAACAACATATAATGTTATAATTACATCATGTCGCTAATTGATGGACAAATAA